TTTCCCTTTCTGCTCCTGCCCATCCACTCGAAGGAGATTATGACTCAGACTTATTCCACAGTGAAGTGCTTTCCACTCCAAAATGGTGCAAAAGGTTCCACACAACAATCCAAGATTTAAACCTCAACGTCGTTGTAATTCAGACTCCCACCCCCAATATTATTTCTCTGGAGCCAGCACCCTCTCCAAAGCACTGAAAATTAGAAGGAACCCAGACAAGAGAAAGGAAATGAAGCAGCAGCTAAAAATGGGGAATGAGTAACTGTAATTTCAGAAAACCACATCTGCTCTCCTAGTCAACAGTGGAAACAAAACTTGAGCTTTTTATAGGAAGTGTCTCCTACTTAAAGGACGCTATATGGTACTTCACTAAACTGCAGAGCAACCAGAGTGCACTGTGCTGCCCAGCTCTACTTCCATCTGCCGCCTTCCATAAACATAAACAGTGGAAGCAATGACACGGCCATCACTCTTGTTTTCCCTGACAACAGAAAGCTAATTTTACCTGAATCATTTGATGCAATGATTTTGCAAAGTTCTTTCTGAATTCTTGTCTAATATCCAACAGATCGATTTCACTTCTTGAAACCATGACTCTGATCAGGGTATCATCATCAGTGCCAGCCCCCTAAAGAGAAAAGTTTAAATAACATTAAAATGCGAGTTCGTTCTGCACAGATGCTCTAACAAATACAAACAACCAGGTTGCAACATGAAAGCACCAAGTGCAACAAGTGCTGTCTCAAAACATTTCTGCACTACACTTCTATTTGAAAATAAAGACTATTTGGGACAATATCACAAGGCATTCATACTGCAACGTGGAGAATAGAGGACTGACTGTGCAAGGTTCTCTAATCCCTGGACTTCTCTAAGTGCCATAGAGTCAGATTTCTTCTTTCCTGTTTAAGCTCACAGCCTTCAAATGTGAATGCCCATATAAATTTAAAATAATCCAGTTCGAAGATTACACAGTAGCAGAGCTGGTCACCCCAATCAGAATCACATGTAACTCACCGTTCCAATGCAGTCTGAGACTGCAGAACTGCAGTCAGGTCTGGAACCGGGTTCATAAATCCTAACGATGACTAATACAAAGCACGTAACATCATACAGCAAGACACAGGCAGAGGAACTCATTCAACAAATTACCCAGATGTTTATCACAAAGGCAAACTTCACAAACCATTTCTAACCACGCAAACATGCTCCACTCTGAGTCATCTTTATGGCTTTAAACATTTTAAGTTCCTGTGCTGGCAGTAACATCCTGACCCCTCCTGCTCAGACAAGTCAGACTCCCCACAAGCTGAAGCAATACGAATTTTCACATGCTGACCTACTAATGCACCTCAAGGAAGGACTGGGCAGAGTCCCCAAGATCATCTTCAGCCTAACGTCCAGGGTCACTCAATCCTTCGACTGGGTGTCATATATTCTTGGATTACATCTAAAAACACCCTAAAGCTGCTCAAAAGTTACGCCATGAGACTGGTGGTTTCTGGGTAGGATTTGACATTAGAATCTGCTAATGCCAGGCGCTGCCCCACCGAATCATGAAAGCAAACTCTGCTCATTGTAGAACTTAATCATACCAAATCAATAAATTAGAAGTGCAAACTCTTCTGCCAAAGTAATAATTGATTAAGTTATGTTTTATCTGAAGTGCTTCATGACTTGTATTTATATTTAAAAAAATAAAAACTGGGTATCTCACCAGCAGACATTCATTAGATTCCTCATAATAGAATTGCACAAGATTGTAAAACCTACAGGAAAATATTTCCTATTGCATTCTTTTAAAAAATAAAAATTAATAAGTAGATTAAAAAAAAGTAATCCTCCTCGTACAGCTCAGCATACTGGTATAACTTTTTGTATCTTCCACCTGAACATTATTTTAGATTGTTATCTATAAAAGTGGCTTTTAAAAATTAAGCTATTATTTCATCTCTTTTCAGTAATTCTCATGCTGACACCTCATCAGCATCTCACGACAAACATACTTCAGGACTTTTCATCAAGGGAAAGCAAGGAATTCTTCAGGGAATCTGATAACTTGCCTGAAAACAAGAGATTACCTACCTTGGTTTTAATTAGTGTTAGCCACTGTGAGTTAAAAATACAGTTTCCCCTACTTATGTCTTCCCATCCAAGAGAAGGGAAAGCCAACAAACACAGCTGTGTCACTGGGGAGAGTTCTCTGCCGGTTTTGTAATTGTTGAAGCCTGTTACCTTTTTCTCTGACAAGTTGCTTGTCCTTCTCGAAATTGGATGAATAGTCCCCAAAACAAGTTTCAAAGCTAACCATACCTTTAGTCTGCAAACACTTATCTCCAGAACAAAGAGCACTAGATCTGCACAACCTATGAGTTAGGTTTTCAGCATGTTTACTTCCTCAACATATCCACCATGTAAAGCTACTGTAGTCTTTGTTGACCTGAAGGGGCCTAGTTGATCTAGCCAGGCACTTTGCAATGTAAGAAGACTAAGTCCCAAAACCAGCTGATGAGACAGACATTTCAAGGTACAATGAACTCCAAGTAAAGCTTATGAATTGTTTGTATCCTCTCCCAGATCTGCATTCCCCAAACCTTTTGCAGATGGTTAGTGATCCTGTGGATATTTACAGCAAAAGAAATAAAGAACAAGCAAAAGGGAAAGGAATTTTAGCTACAGCAGATAGAAAGGTGGCATGTGAAAAACATGTATATACCTTCATGGAATCATACAGAGTCTCAGCAAAATAGGCAGGCACACTTCGGATGCATTTCACTGAAAAAAGGCAAAGGATTAAATTACTGATTGTTAATTCAATACCGGACAATCTTGCACTGTCAAGACAGTGTGTTACTGGACCATTCTCTCCATTGCAGACAATTACAGCTGCCAGCTCATCTGTTCCTCTGCTACAACTCTTCTGGGTTCTAAGAGTTCGAATGCACCATATATTGCTGATAGAAAAGAGACTTTGCCAGTGAAATTCTACTCTCGGTTAGAAATCTACTATGATATTGTCCTAAATGAGAAGCCAAGAATCGAAATGAAGGCAGAATTTTGTCTCACTTTCTGACAGAAGTGCACATGACTGAACCGAATGTAGTTCACCCCCACGCCCTAGCCTGATTCCCGCCTGTGCCCCCATCTATTAAAGGAACAATAAAGGCCTATTTTCTAGATAGAAAAAATAGATGCCAGGTGATTAAGTTTAAAAAGGAACCATGTTTTCATTACAATTTAAGGAAGCCTGGTAGTCAACTAAGAAGGCCAGTTCTAGATCTGTTAAGACGTAATTACCAACTGCCAAAAGCAGCTTCTCCAAATCACCGGAAGTTTCACGGTCAATGGTCTCTTCAATTTGGAAGCCGGAAATAGTCATGTACTTGTCAAACACTGCAAAACAGAAAGTGTGCTTAGTCACACTGAAGGCCAGCAAATATTTCTCCCAGTACCCTTCTCAGGACAGGGTAATGCCACCTGTATCTCATTATCCACAGCTCAGATGCTATTGCCTGCTCTTTCTTCCCTCTGTACTATTCTAAATTCTTACTTCCTACCAGATTGCTACTGTGCAATACATTCCTGTACCTCAGAATAACACCAGGACATGCTGGGGGTCAACAGGCTGGAAAGCAGCTTTGCAGAGAAGGAGCTGAGGGTCCTGGTGAACATCAAGTTGAACATGAGGCAGCAGCGTGCCCTTGTGCTGCTTTAGGAGGATTGTTGCCAGCAGGTCAAGGATGGGGACTGTTTCCCCTCTACCCAGCACTAGTGAGGCCATGCCTGGAGGGTGGGGTCCAGTTCAGGGCTCCCCAGTGCAAAAAAGATATGGAACAATTAAAGTGAGTCCAGTGAAGGGCTATAAAGATGATTGAGGGACTGGAGCACCTTTCCTGAGAGAGAAGGGACTGTTCAGCCAGAGGAGAGAAGAGAAAGCTCAAGGGGGAATCTCATCCATACGTACACTTCCATGAAGAGGGGCGTAAAGCAGACAGACCTAGCACTTACTGGTCATTGTTACAAAAAGTCTAAACAGCTCTGTAAAACAGAGTTTGAATGGGTAAGGAGCAGGAAAAAAAAAAAATGTTGGCCATTTATTATGCACATATAAAAGGATTGGGTTTTTTCAGGGCTGGATCTCCATCAGATTATGATGACTCATAAGAGACTTTCAGCATCTTTTCCATTGCCACAACCTCTTTCAAAAGGGACAAAAAAAATACTAAGCATCTAAAAAGAAACCCCCATCTGTCTCTCAGATCTATTGCACCACTCCTTGAAGTGGGAGATCCCCACTGCTAAGGGGGAAGTGCATTACAGGAAACAAAATTAAATGTATTAAGTCTAGGGAAGAGGTGATTAAAGATTTCTGGGCATGACAAATGCAGGACCACAAACAACATTTCAACCATTTCTACCACCAGCTGGGTAGCACTGAGATTTCAGGTCGAAGTTCTCAAGCATACATGAACCATACTACCTACCCCTCCTTAAATGCGAAACACTTCGAGTTCCCAAGATAGTGATGAACTTTTCTTCATCTGTTCCCCATTTCAGCTCCCCAGCTCGAAACAAAACCTGTTTTGAAATGAGGAGATTAAAACAGCAGCATTTGTTATGTGTCCACATACCCAGTTGAAAAGCTCTATTTGTCTCTCTCTAAGGAATCGTAGAATAGAATCACAGAACCATAGAATGGTATCAGCTGGAAGAGACCTAGAAGATGACCAGCCTTTGTCCCAGCCCTATCAACCTACTAAACAATTCAACTTACTAAACAAGTTATAGCTGGAAGGAAAAAAATCAAAATAAAATTGCCAAGTACCGAACCAAACTTACAAAGAAATAAACTATACATTTTGAAATTGACTGTGAAAGTATTTAAATGAGAAATACTGCTTAAGCCCTAAAATTGACTGTGCGCACAGTCGCTTTCATAAGCCTCAAGTTTTCTGGAACTATGAGAACAGAGGAGATTAAATCCATTCCCAATATTGCTTTTTCTGCTTTTTTGTTTCCTTACCCTTCTTCAAATCAGACTAGCAAAACTTTATTACATGATGATTCATATCAATGGCAGAACCATGCTAACCTAGCCCAGGAGGAAGTTTTCCTAAAAGGAGGGGAAAATGGATTTAGAAGATCTCGAAAAAAAAGATTTGCCAGCTACTAAATTCTTCATCATATGAAATCACATTTGAATTCTTTAATCGTTTTAGCACATTCATTGCTCTTCAGGCAAGTCTTTATTAAATGCAGAAAATGACCGGGCCATAAAACAGCATTTAGGAAAATAAAGCACTTCCCACTTTTAGAATAAGCAACAGTACAGGGGAAATGAGACAGAAAAAAAAGGAGAAAATTAAATTAATTCTTTTTCCTGACATTCAGAAGGTTTCTTTCCCAATTCTGTGCTCAACACCATTTAAGGAGAAAGGTTTGTACATATTTTAGTATACAGTATTTTTCCTCCCTCCTCAACGAGCAGAGGACTGGCAAACACGTTACAACCTATATTCAGGCAATCAACTATTTCTTAGAAAAATGTCAAAAAATCTGCTGCAGAGCAATGCTGTTGGCCATATGTCTGTCCGTACTGTAAAACCTGAATGGGATATTATGAATTTCCTATTTGTGTTTGTCCCACAATCCTATTCAAAACCGGTATGTGCTTTGTTTAATATTAATGGTACAGAGTACAAAAAGATGAAGAAAAAAACCAAAACCAAGAGCTATTAAGGCATTGCAAAGGCATTTAGTTCAAATAACACATGCTAAATTCTTCAAAATAAATATCAGCACTCTCTATCCAGTAGCAAACATGAAGTCCCAGTATAGCATTTAGAACTGCCAGGACAGCATTTCTTTAGAGAAACTACAAGTTGTGAATAGTATTTTAGGTTTTGATCCATCTTGCCACTGTGCAATACCCAAAATGTACATCAATTACATAATTTTAGAAAAAGGGATATTCAGAAAATCTATTCCGAAAAGTTAAACTTTCTGCTTAAGGCATTCTTAGAAAAATCTTACAAGTTCCCTGGATATTCACACTATCTCACAGTATGAATGTCAGTTGCCCAGCTGCTTTGGGTTAATATTTCTTAACAACAGAAGAAAAAAAAGAATTAAAACCCACCACAGAGCACAAAGGTTGCCCTCTAATGTATCAAAATCTGCCAGAATATCATATTAACCAAAAGAAACACTGGGAAGCCAAACAAGGACTTACATTCACACAGTCACATACCTCAATTCTGACCACCTGTACCTGGTAATAATAATTAACAAATTGTCTGAAGCTTTTCCAGCTATCTTAGATGTTGAATGTAAAGATACCGATAAAGTGAAATGGGACAGAATGCTTCTCTGTTTGGGTCCCAGCTCAAGCCAATTGTACATAACAAACCACAGAGACAATTTAGAAAACCAGGACTCTTGGAACATTTAGGTATGGTGCCTCCTAAATTTAGATGCTCATTTAAACTCAATTGAAGATCCTAAAAGTAATATATCTATCTACCAAGGTTTGCGGTTCCTGGGTTTCCTCAATTACATAAGCCCAGATAAATGCAAGACTGAAATAATTTCATGAAATAGCCTAGCTCATGTTTTGAACATTTGTCTCAGTAATCTTCAAGCTCTAATTTCCAGAGAATTAATTTTAATAGCAAGAGAACCATGCTTTCTGAATTTACTTAACAAAGAATAGGCCTGTGCCAGTAAAATACATTCTCCATCTTGCCCTGCTATCACGAAAATGTTTTATTGATCTGGTATTCTGCTTTCCCTCCTTGTCACTTCAAACAATCCATATATTTTCCTTCACCTCAACTGACAAGTTATGAGAGGAAAACATCTAACCCAGGGTTACCCGAAATAACTGAGGAGAAATATGCATTAAATGAGTTCTGACATACTGAGCATCACTAATGTCAAAGCCAATAGCAACCAGTAAGAGACTGCATCAAGGATACCAATTAACTGGTGGTATTCTTCTTCCTGTCTAGAGCACAGGTTTAGAGGTCAGTGACATGGACAATACTCACAAAGGGCAAAACTTGAGTCCCAAGAAACTCTTTAGAGCCAGTTCTAGTAATTGTCAAGCTGAATATTCGTTACAGTTTTTCTTTTTAGTATTTCACCCTCTATGGAGACATTCCTCACCAAATAGCAATGGCATTTCACTATGACACATATATTAACCCAATATAAGGACTGAATTCAGAGCGAAGTTCAAGTCAAGATATTAAAAGATGAATCATTAATATCTCTGAATTTTCCAGCATCACAAAGCCTCAGTAAGCATAACTCTGTCTTGCAATAATAAGTAAAACAATATGCTTTACACTGAAATATCAAAGGGCCAAAAAACCTTGAACCTAGTGTTCCAGGTTTTGACATTTCTTATGTAAAATCATGCAAAAATGTATTAATAAATGTACACAAAGAACCTTAACAATTTTTCTTTAATCTTTCATTTCTAGCTGTATACTCTCTTAGCAAGATAACTTGTGCAAATGCTCCAAAACCCATCATTCACCCACCTGAGCATCCTGCTCAACAAGACGCTCATCAACTCCTCCATCAGGATCTCTGTTTGCCTAAAGAGAATTTTTGTAAGTCATTAAACTGAAGAATGAAAAGTTGAATTAAAAAACAACTTACATGTTACATTGAGCGCGTAAGAGCTACTGTGAGAAGTCAACCCCTAATGCATCTTTTCCAGGTGCTCGCATGTGTCTTTTGAAATAAATGTTGTCTTCTCCTATTGCCTTCCAAACCCCACGTTGCAGGCATTTTTATGTAACTGTAAGCAATGATCCATAACAAAGCTCAAGACTGACCCTGCAAGTCAGGGGAACCCACCTGCTCCTGAAGCCATCCTGCCTATCCCCAGGTCTATCTGGAATCCCAGCTTAGTAATCAGAGTGACAAGTGTGCATCAAACAGGAAAACAAAAGCAAAAATCATATCCAAACACTGCAGCAGCGAGATACTGACCTGCAGCAGAACCACCAGCAGTCTCTGAAAGTGGCCCGAGGTTTCTCCTGTGATCTTATCCTCCAAGTTGGCCTCATACTCTGCAAAAGAGCAATAACCATTCGCCCATTCACCCCCTTATAGACTTCCGCACTATTTTGAGAAGAAAGCAATGAAAAGCAAAAACTTCATTTGACTCACAGCTCGTAGAGTAATTTACCAGAAACAGTTTTAACAACTAGGATATATTCTGCTTTCACTTATAACCTAACATTATTGTACCTACTAACAGAAGGATATTTGTCAAAATATTTTGACATACAAGGTGACATGTAGAGATTCAGCTCTTTAAGGAACTAAAAGCTGTCCTGGTTTGAGCTAAAAACCCCAATTCTGTTTAGTGATTTTGACTTTCCAGTTTAGTCTGTTCTAGAAGGCTGCACTTTCTGAAGTTAACAGCAAGTTTTTGCAGACAGTGTCTGCTACTGGCAGTGATAACAGTTACTGCCTGGGACTGGGATGCAGAAAGGCCACTGCTGGCTCTTGTGTGCCACACTGGGGGTGCCGGGTACTAAGAGGGGTCACAAGCAAAAAAAGGTTGCACCTCTGAGGAGTAATAGGACAGGTGACCAACGAGGGTATTCCATCCCATATACATCATACTTAGTATAAACTGAGTGATCATGAGAGTTTCGTCCCTTTTCTGCAATGGCTGGTGTTCAGAGAGGACTCCATCTGACCTCCTGCTTTTGATCCGGATCCTGAGTTCCCGAACCCACCCCCCCCCGCCGCTGAGCCTGAGGCTTCCCCAGTGCCTTCTGCTCGGCAGCATCAGTGGGGATTGATATCAGGGGAGAGAGTCGGGTTTGATACCGGGCTACTATCTATAGTTGTATATAGTTCTTTACTTTTATCATTTTACCATTATTTCCGTTATTTCATTAAAGCTGTTCTAGTTTTTCTTCTCTTACCCATAAGTGTCTTTGCCTCATCCCCTTTTCCTTCCCGTTCTGGGGGGGGAAGAGGGGGTCAGAGAGCGTCTGTCCGTGTTAGTGGCCTGCCCAGCCCTAACCCACGACAAAAGCCTACAGATCTGGAGTTATGCCAAAGTACGGGTGTTTCACAACTGTACAACAACTCTGAACCCAGAAAAGTCTAGTGCTAACAAATTTTGTCCTTGAAGGCTCTGTAGTTTTGCAGCGAACTTTATTAAGACATGAGAGGGTGGTAGTAATTAGTACAGAGGTAAAAGAATTATGTTGAATTAAACACTGCCATAATAAAACCAACACAACAATCACAGGGTAAAGCAAGTGCTCCTGTGGACAACCAAAAACCTGATCTGGTGCAAAGGCATTTGAACAGAACGCTCAGCGAAAGGCAAAAAATTACTTTGGTTTTTCATACAATAGTAGTTTCCTGGTTTCCAATTACTACAAATGCCCTTTCAGTCAAAGGGATGAAAATAATAGGTGACAGGAAAAAATGCAGTTGAATGAATTTTAACTAAAAAGCACAAAACACTATAACCTGTATTCATAGACTCAAAATAAAGACTACTTGAGTTTATAAACCAAACTCAATATGAAATTTTGCAAGACAGCAGAAGGAAACAAAAGTTTCTTTCAATATGAAGTTTTGCAACACAGCAGAAGAAAATATCACTTATTGGATACACAGATCAAATCATACACACACTTTATCTGAAAGATGAGTTAAAATCATACTAAGAGAAGTGCACAGAGATTTACAACTTTATTTTATACAGAACTTTACCTTTTAGATAGACCTGTTTAATATTCTGCACTTCTGCAGGTGTTCTGGAGGCAAGAATTTCAGTCAGCACTTTCTCATTTGTTCCTGCTCCCTGCAGGGAGGCAAGTATAAATCAGTTGATGGAATAACAGAAAATAAGAATTCTCTTCTGACAATCAAAAGCAAGCACCAGCTTATACACTTGAACCAAAGACAGTGGTTTTGGAAAGAATTTTTTCCAGTTCTGGCTTGATTGTTTTGAAAACCAACCCGACACCTAAGAAAGTCTCACTGCTGCAGGATTCAGCTGAGCCCTTCCATGTTCAAGTCCACCCAGATAAGCCTTGTTTTTTCCCTACTACAGCGAATGACATTAAGGGAAATAAATGAACAGAGCAACAGTTTCGGTCTTAGCTCTCGTTCATATACTGAATTTTATCAGCTAGCACACAGATAAACACAGAGACACCCAGCATTGATCTTCACCCTGCTATGAATTGTTTTACATTAAATCTGCTCTCTTTTCCATTGCAAACAAATACATTTTACAACAGAAAAAACAGTCATCTTGCTAATCCAGACAGTTTAAGCTGCTGCACTTAGGTACAGCAGGCCCAACAGGCACTCTTCACTTTTACAAGGATAAAACTTACAGAAGGGAAGTCAGTATCTTGATTATCCAAGTCTGAGTCTACTTTGCCTGCAGGAATAAGCCATTGCTCTTTACCTTTCCTAAGAAGTCATTTCACAAAAGCAGCACTGAAATACAAGGATGGGTATTTTTTGCTTCAGCACATTACTTACCTTTCCTGTAAGGTAAATCTGAACACTGACTGCACACAAAGATACCCAAAATACAAATCTGCCAGGTTATATGTAATCATTTTCAAAATACAGATTGTTTCAAGAGTGCACATACTCAAGTGAGGTAGGCACAGTTATATTGGTTCTAATCTAAGTAGCAGCAGTGGACAGTCCTCAACACAGACGTAACGCTCTTAGCTGAGTTACCTTGCACTGAGGTCTCTGTTATCACATCTTCTTTACTACTGTTGCTATCCACCTTAGTCGAACTGCAGCTAGTATTGACATCTCCTGTGCAGACACATTCTCTGAGAACCTATGATGTTGTGTTTAATATCGTTAGGGGGCTGGCCAGCTCAGCTGGTTAGAGGTGGTGCTGATAACACCAAGGTCGGGGGTTC